ATTTAGGACTCTTGGCATAAATATATTTAATGGTTTTACGCAATTAGTATGAATTCAGGCTTTTGTAATAGCTTGGAATATAATGTTGACAGAACAAAGAAATGCACTTGCTTTACACTTACTTAATGTGATGATCTTGTAATGTTTGCTATTAGCTGTATTTATCCAAGCATGTACTGTGTAAATTTTGATTTGACCATAGACTTGTATCAAAATTAACGCAGTAATGTGAAATGGTCTAGTCTCTGTAGGACATTCAATTTTAGTGGGCTTGTCTCCCACCAAGCAAAGTGCATCAACATCACAAATGTGGTGCAACTGAGTCTGAAACACCTTTGGGTCTACATTGTGGTGTCAGAATTCATGAAGTCATGGGACAACCTGTGTCAATGCAGCTGACACTTGTGCAAACGTCTTCAAAGTATTGATCATACAGAAAGGTGATTCTGGCTTGGCCATCTCTCCCCCAAATACACATAGTTTACTTTGCCCAGTTTGAAGGAATGATGTTAAAGCATTGCAGGTAGAGGATACTGAAGTAATGCTACCAGACTGTCTGGTAGGATGTCATCATGGAGCAATGATTTTATTTAGAATTTAAGGAAATTACCAGTTTTGATACAAGTGAATATTCAGGCTTCTTAATTATATTCTGTCTTAAGCTAACTTTATTTTGCATTTAAATTGGGTGGACAGCTTAAGTTTGTGACTAAGCTTTTTTTTTCCTTTCCCTTTGCTCACTTGAAGACAGTGGTTGACTTTGAAAATTTTACATGCGAGTGCTTTTATTTTGTGTTGGCATACTACCTCAGACCATGAAAAAGTTTGGTGTAGAACTGTAGGATTGGTTCACCTCTGTAAACACAAGTTTCTAGTAGACCAAGTAAGATTATGAAATGCACATCAAGGGAAGACTAGAGTTCAGGATGTGTATTTGAACCTGTTTTTCATGAGAATAGTGGGGCTTTTAGTGATCCTTCACCAGGTTATTCTCTCTTCTGAGACAAAACTGGAGCATGGTGGGAGCAATCTCTAATTTGTCTTGGTGTGTGAAATCTTTTCATTGTGGTCAAGTGGTTTTCAACTTGTTTTCGTCTATATTTTCCCAGTGCTTTAAATTAGGATGGGGCTATGGAAGGAGACAGTGTTTCCACACCTTGAGAGAGGAAAAACGTGGTGTGTATTGGTTTTCACACGCCCAGATTGTGATGTCCAACTGAGAAGTCTGCTAGCTAGTCAAATTACTCTCTTCAACCAATTAAGGTAATAGGCAAATGCCCTTTTTAATAGATCTGTATTAACTGAGAGTTAACCTCATTTTTAACTATGGTACTAGCTTCTTGACAAAGCATAAACTTGGCAAGAAGGACAAACTAGCTGAGGGATATGTAGTCATTTCTTCTGAAGATACTTACTTTCTTCAGGTGGTGGAAGTAACTCGTGCCTCTGGGATGGACTTACCTTCTGATTTAATGATTTGGTTTGGGGCTGTATGGGGCTTGGAGATTGCTCAGGTACTGGTGGCATCTGGAGTTACTTCTAAGGGGGTGTTTTACCAATCGTAGCCATAACTGAGGCCTCAGAAGGCAGTGCAGAGAGTGCAGTAGAGCATTGTATTCTTCATTGTTCCCGTCTGCTTTAACCCTTCAGTGCATTTTAATCCCTTACCAGATCCCATATTACAATAATAATTTAATTCCAGTACTTCTCCTTTGAGACTGGGAGTCTGACAAAGGTGTGAAACTTTGGTCATGTTTAGGTTTTGTGAGGGTTTTTTTTTGTTGGTTGGTTAGGTCTTTTACTCTGTGCATTTATTAGTCAAGCTGGAAAACCCAGTTACAGACACATGACTGATGTGCTGCATGCTTTTTCTTTGGTGTCAGAGGGGTTCTATCATAGCTTGCCTTTCAGCCCTACAACCTCAGCTGTCTGGGAAAGACAGTATTTAAAAAATTCTCTGTTTTGTCCCTTTTGTACCCAGGTTCACAAGATTTTAATAAAATTCCTTATTGCTAGCAGATGATAGTTTTTATAGATACTGAATCCTTTTAGACCTTTTATCTCTTGACTTCTGTGTTTCCAAGTTTGGTTTTGTACTGGTAGCTGAGAGAAAGGACAGTTTTCCTCAATTTCTTTATATTTACTTTTGTGTTAGGGAGGGTACACAGCAGTGGTGTACTGTGCCTGCCTCGGTAAATGTCTCCTCACCAAACAGTGCCAGCCTTTTCCATTCTATGAAAATCTTCCATCTCAACTGCTTGCTGTCTTTCTGGACTCTTATGTATGCTGTATTATGTCTTTTTTAAAACAGAGAGCAACATGACAAAAACATATGTATTTTCTTAGCCCAAGATGGCCTAATGCCCTACCACAGTTGTTTTCCTACCCCATTCCATACAGGTTTGACTTTGCTGGCTTTGTCTTCATTAGACTTTTCAATGACATGTTGCAGGTGTGTAGTTTACTACATGTTTGTTTTCTTGTAAGTGAGCTTTGAAGGCAAGTTGGGAGTTACTAATGTTCATGATTAAGATTATCATGAGCTTGCAGATCTGCAGCTCACAGGTATCGTGATGAGTATGTTTACTCATGCATGGTCCTGGTAAGCCTTCTGTGTGTGCTTTTCACCTTGTAGTAGAGGCAAGTAATTAAACCGAGCTGCATTTCTTTGCACAAGCTGTTGGAAGAAGCGATGAGAAAATAAAGTGGAAAGTCATGGTGTCCCATGCAGAATCTGTTGTACAGTTATTGCTGTGATGGTGAGTTGGCTACTTTTGTTCTGAAAAATTAATTTAGAACTTGTCTTAAATGGGCTTTTGGATGTTCAAGAGGATTGTAAGCAAATATCTTCTAGGGGTATTTCTGACTAATACTTTTTAAAGTTTTTATTTTTTTAAACCTCAGGCTCATAGGTTTGAATGAAAAATGTATTGCACTAAGCTCTCTAAAACTGTTCCTTTGCAATACTAATGCACACAATAAAAAAATGGGAACCCTGGAGGGAGCAGGAAGTAGATTTGATTTACAGTAGGAGAAATTAAAGTAGAAGTGAAAGCCAGTTGTATGCGCTATGGCTCAATGCTAAACGAACACGGAACAAATCGCTGATAAGCCTGTTTTATTTCTCTCAGAGTCACTCGTACACCAGACCCCATAGAGCACTTTGCACACAGTGTGTGGATGCAGTCACACTTGTGTCTGGAGGCTTGATTGCTTCTGTGTGCTATGGTGTTACTAAAAAGCTGATTTTAAGTTACTCGCTTGAGGCAGAGCTGCGGTTTTGTTACTGCTATTTTTTTTTCCTCCTGTAGCATTTAAAATTTCATTCTTCAGATGCAACATAGTGCCTGTAGGCAGGCTGTTGGGTTTACTTCCAATATCTGATTTTTGACCTGTCTTGTCTTTGCTTACGGGAATGCTTAGGAGATGCCTGTCCTCCCCACGGAGGTACCTCACACAGCAGCATCTGAGGAAGAGTGATGCCTCAGCCAGTGATTGGAGATAACTGTAAACCTTCTAGAATCTGGGGTCAGGTGTATTCTGCAAACTTGCCTGGGCACAGGAGATGAATTTTATTGTATTGGATTAAGCATGCATACGGTTAGAAATGAATGCATTGCTCCAACAGTCCTCATAGGCAACGTGGATACAGTAGATCTATGTAGTAATTTTTTTTGAAGTTCAGTTGGTGACATGGACTGAGGTTTGAGTTGCTGTGATTTGTGACTTGCTGTAATTGTGTACAGAAGCAGAATCTTATATAAAGTTTATTCTAAAAAAACTCTGGCCTGGGGAAGGGAAGTTCTGCATGAAAGCACAGGATTTCAAGAACTTGCTTTTTTCCCCCCCTCTGGTTACAAAAAGGTAATTGCTCGAGACATCAGTTCTTTCTGAGCATTCAGCTTTACAAAAATTGCCAAGGCAGATTTTGATAGACATGAGACTGCTTTCTTGGAACTCTCCAAGTGATATCCCCTAATTTTCCATGAGGGCTTAAATCTCTTCTGTTGTTGAAGCAGCAGTATTGTGTAAGTATCTCACTGTAACACTTCTGATTGGCATCAAGGTGCCTCCTTCAATCAGGACAGGCAGAGATGGTTTAAAAAAACAAAACCAAAAAAAAAAACAACAACAACAAAAACCTCTATCTTAACAGTTGTCTTCAGGGATTATTTGCTGCACTGCTGGTAGCCACATTATTCTGTTGTCCTTTTTCACTGCATGTCCTGAAACTTTCAGGCAAATAGTTGAGACTACAAGCTGGTTTGCTTGTAACCAAAGTTTGGAGGAAGTTGGTGTGTTGGAAATTATTCTGAAAGATCTCTAAAGAATTTTCTCTACTGTTCTTCAACTACAAGAGGAAATTGCACTCCCTCCACCTTCATGAGAACCTTATTTCCATTTCCTTCGGAAGACCATCTGTAGGGCTGTGAATGAACGAGCTGTAACAAAACAAAAAACTTTTGTGATATTCCTCCGCCTCCTTGGTTCCTCATGTTCGGTTTCTATTGCAAAGCCCTACCTAGCCTTTCTTCATTTTAATATACTTCAAAGAAAACAACCCTTTTGAGCCTGCTGCACATTAACAAAGCAGCAGAATTGGGTGATGTAGCTTACAACAAATATTTTCATAAAGGATCTGGTAGGTTTTCCCCTGTTATTAATAGAGGGAAAGCCACTGTGCCCTTAATTATTTGAGTCTCTGAACTGAAAAAAATGGGTAAATATGAATTGGGGGAGGAGTTAAATCTTTCTCCCACTCCCTTACACTTGGTTTAAAACCTGCCAGCCCTTCTGAGTAATTCATCAATCATATAAACATTGACCTTAGTTTTTGGACAGGGAAAGTATTAAATGCTTAGCTTAAAAATTAAAAACAAAATCCCATACCCCGCCAAAGAAGGACATCTGTTTCTAACTTCAGCTTTTTATTTTTTTATCTTTCATTTTTTTTGTTGGTAAATCTCCCAGACAACAGCAGTTCTGTAGAGAGTTTAAATATGAAGGAATGGCAGGACGGGCTAAGGGCACTTCTACCGAACATTAACATCAACTTTGGTGGACTGCCCAATGCTTCTTCCCCCTCCAACGCCAACCACAGTGTACCAACGTCCAACACTGCCACCACCGACAGCCTGAATTGGGACAGCCCTGGCAGCTGGATGGACCCCGCAATCATCACAGGTAACCGTTTCTCACTCCTTCAGCTCCGCTGGCAAACCATCCAATGGGTATTTGGCACAAACCGATTTACATCTGGCAAAAAAGTCAGTATGCGGTGGTCTCTTCCAGCTTCCATCCACAAAACCTCAAGGGTCCAGGAATTTTTGTGGAACCCTTAGGTGTACCAGAGCATCACTCAGGCCTTTGCCATGCATGCCCGGGACCTTTGCAGGCAGTCAGGTGGATCAGTGCTTATCTGTAGGGTCGACATAGGTGTCCCTTCTGCTGGATGGCTTGTCCGGTATGTGCGCCGCTGTCCTGAGGCACTGAAGGCATTCACTGGACTTTGATATTTAAAAAGGGACGTACTCCACTTGTTTATAAAGCTCTCTTTTATAAGGCTGTCTGGTTGTGTCTCCCTGTTAGAGAGGCTGAAGCATGATTCAGGTGAAGCATGCAGCGTACTGGTAGTTTGGTGTGGTAAAGTCACGTCAACAGGGGTGCAGCCCTTGTGCAGGATGTGTGATAGAAAAAATGTGTGTTTTATGAATAAATGCTCCAAGGAGGAGCATTCTCCTATCTGGATTTAATGTTAAATGTTTTGTGGGAAGGGTAATTCTATATAATAATGTAAAATGCATTATCTGTACAAACTAATCATGTTTTCTCACTGTTGCTTTTTGTTAGGTTAAATTGACCTCCTTTGTGCTCAGCTTACTGCTTCTGCTCTGACTTGTCTGTATCTGTGTTTTTTTCTTCTCTTTGTAGGTATCCCAGCCTCCACAGGAAACAGTTTAGACACCCTTCAAGATGACAATCCTCCACATTGGCTAAAATCTCTTCAGGCCCTCACAGAGGTGGACGGCCCCAGTGCAGCGCCATCACAGACGCACCACAGTAACCCCTTCGGCACACAGATCCCTCTGCACAGAGCCAGTTGGAACCCCTACTCTCCCCCTTCAAACCCCACCAGCTTCCATTCCCCACCCCCGGGCTTTCAGACAGCCTTCAGACCCCCCAGTAAAACCCCCACAGATCTACTACAGAGCTCAGCACTGGATCGTCATTAGGAAAGAAGGAAAAAGAAGAAAAACAAAAAAAGAAGAAAAATAAAACCCAAAACGTTAGAAATGCAGGAAGTGTCCCACCCTGACTCCTCCCCATGCCCACCTACTGTTCCCTGTCATATCTTTCTTTCTGGAGAATCCAGTTCCTGATCAAACCTCCCCCCCAGATGCAATGCCATCACAGGGTCATGACCGTATCTTTTCGTTAAGTTTCTGCTGAGCCAGTGTTTGAAATACACTGTTTGAAATATTTTCTAACCATTCTAAGGAAAAAAAAAAGAGAGAGAGAGAAATGAAAATGCAGTCTCAATGCTTAAGGAGAATATTACTGTCTTATGTCTTTTGCACATGAGTATTTGCCTAGTGGAAAAGTGTCAGTCTGCAGTAGAGGAAAAAATGCAGTGCAGAATCAAATGCAGAAACATGAAAAAGGTATTTAATTTAAATTAACTTACTGAACATGTGGGGCAAGCAGTGGCCTAGCATTTATTTTGCATTCAGTGTGGCACTACACAAGGAAATTGCTATGTTGTTGGTTTTTTTTAAGGGTATTTTGTTGTGTCATTCAGTAAGAGTTTGACATGAAGTGTGTTGAAAGACAAAACACTTAGAGCTATGAGTAACTGGCATGTTGCTAAAGAGTGGTTTAAAGAGGGGAGAATAAGATTTTTCTTTAATTTTGGCTTTAGATTTAAAGCAAAGTATTCACAGATTTAATACCTAGCGTATACATAATATAATTATAAGCAGCTGAAACATGAGTGATATTTACTTCAGTCTTTGTCTCCTCTGTCAGTCTCTCTTTTTTTTTTTTCTTTGTGAAAAAACAAAGATTCACCTGATTGGGGCACTCTGGGATAGCACTGCATTGGGGCCACATGATCACCATCAGGAGCAACCTCTGACCTCCTCTGCCTGCAGCTTTTACTTAACCCTGTAGTTTCTGGACGTTTGTGCAGTATTGAAAAGACAGGAAAAAAGAAACAGATAAATAAACATGGTTATAACCTGACGCTAAAACTAAAACCAAGGAAATGTACCTCTTTCTTCAGAATTAAAACTAAAATCTTAAATAAAACAGAAAACTTGATGATGACTTCATGTTTACTTTTTGGGGTTTTTTGCTTATTATTTTCTTTTTTTAAACTTGGATTTTGAATTACTGCATCTGGTAAAACTGTATACAGTCCTTGCATTATTTTTTTTTTCCTCGTGTTCATCTAAACTGGAGCTACTTTTTCATGGAAAATACCTCTTTGCATGGTGACTTCTGCATTGAAGGGTGGAAAAAGCATACACACTTTAAATGTTTAAAGGGATTGTTGTCTTTAGTCATGGCAATAGCTAGAGGCTGGCTGTCTCTAACCTTTACTGGTGGTATCCTTTCAAATCTGAAGCATGGGAAAACTTGTTTATACTTTCTGAATTAAATGCCATGTCACTTGGGACAGATAGCATGTAATAATGTGTCTGAAGGTGTGACACAGGATTCTAGTTACAACTCCCCATTTCCATCAGCATTCTCAAGTAAAGGTGTGAAATAATGTCATGAATATAATGAATGAAGAGCTGTTAACATCCAGGAGGCTTCCAGCAAGCTCTGACGCTTCCAGTCAGAGTCCAGTTTGGGTATTTAAAACCAGCAGCCTTGTGACTGGGGTATGGGGTTGGTGTGGCTTGTGGGAGATGGCTGAGAGCCTGAAATGCTGGAAGTGCCTGTGCAGGATTTCTCGGCTGGTGTGAACTGTATTGTTCAGGCTTGCTGCCCTTCTAAAATATTTTCCCCTGGCAAAGAAGGGAATTCACACCGCTGAAGTATGGGCATCTAACAGGGGGAGAGAGTGGCCTTTCACTGTGTGCGGAGCCCTGAATCGATTGCTGGACAGGCAAACCAGGCATTGAATCTGCATAAACTGTAAATATCCTGGTTTCCAAAACATCACTTGGTGATTGCCTGCTTTTGCTCTTCTCTTATGTGTTGCTGTTTAGTGCTGTGTTGACTGTCTGTGTGAAAGAACTGCCCGTCCTGTTTCTGGAGAGTCATGGCTGCTGCAACTCAGTCATGTGCCCTGGTTACTTGGGAGAAGGTGCACACCCTTTGCCAGCAGCCCCCTCAGAGCAAACGGTGCTTTAGTCACGCAGTCAGCGCCTGCACGATCCCCCACTGTCGCTGCTGGGAGTGGGGGTAGGAGCACTGCCTGCCCCTGGCACTGGAACAGTCTGCTGGAGGTGCAGGTGAATGTGCAATGGGCTTTTGAGCTGTGGGGTTTTTTGTTTATTTGTGGTTCTGGCTGGTTTTTTTCTTCCCCAGTTGTTAGAGACGGACTTTTTTTACCGTTAATATTTCTCTTTTAGAAGAGTGCCTTTCCTGACCCTGGAAATAAGCAAGCCTCCTAAAGCAGCTGTAGTTGCTTTCTATGTACCACAGCAATTCCTGAAGCTGCCACCTGCTTTGGTTCTCGGTTCATCTCTTTGCTGCAGTTTAGCATGCATTGAGGGAAACCTGTGCCTGTGGTCTGTTACCACTAGAAAATAGGTTTTGGCTGCTCAGGAGAGTGTTTATTCCCTGCTGCTGCACAATAGCTTCTGTGGTCAGTCTACTGACGAACTCTGGTCCTTAAGGAAAAGGTTTGCAACTGTAATGACTTTTCCTTTCATGGTGCCTCCCCTCCTCCCCACAAGAACTTCTTGTTGAGTAACAGTGGTGTTATAACATTAAGATACGTCAGTGTCCAGGTTGATATGTGAGGATGTAGCTTCTGCTTCTCTTAGCCTGCTCTTATCTACTGTCTGATGCTGACTTCTGCATCCCCTCCAGTCAGGAAGCAGCGTGGCATTTCACTCTGTTCAGCCAAGTGGAGCTTTGTTAGTTTCTCCTGAAGTTTTTGTGGTTAGTTGACAAGAAATTCTGTACACAGGAGCATTGTCAAAAGGAGAGCATCCATGTGTCTGCTGTGTCCATGTGGTCATCTTGGTCCACAGCCTGTTGTTGGTTTGTGCTGTGTGGACACATGCAGCTCTTCCTTGCATTAAGCCAAGAACAGTGCTCGACTAAAAGGTTGCCAGCCCAGGGCCAGCAATGTATTTGGTAGATGGAGCCTGGCAGAGATGTCATTGGAGAAGGAGGATGGACCAGGCTGTGACAGATGCCAAGGTGTGTTGAAGGGAGGGAGTCACTAGCCATGATTGTGTTGGTATAAGAAGGTCTGTTGCATTTTCAAAGAATTCACAATACAAGCATCGTAATTTGGGATCAGCATTACTGAATTAATACCAAGGGTTCCTGGCTCCCTTTCTTGTTTCTTATATGACTATTTAATAAGGCAGTGATGTTTCTCTGAAGTACAGCAAGGAGTATAATGTCACTTTCTAGGTAAGGCAAAGAGCCACTGCATGAATTCCTTTTATAGTTTTTTGAGTCCAAGTGTGAGCAGGTGTGTGGCCTTACAAATGCAGTGTCTTGACAGGGCTGCTCGAACTGTAGTTAAAACACCATTGCCAAATTCCATAACAGGTTTTGATCATGGACTTACGCAGTTGTATTCTAGTTCCTTAACTCTTAATTTTTGTGTTCCTGTGCCTCCATGATAGACTCTGTCCTCCAAAATGTTTTTGTCCGAGGTGCTCATTTAATCATAGGCATTCCATATGTTGAATTTTAGGGAAAATGCAGTGTGGTTTTGTTTTTTTGTGTATGAGGTGGCTTTTTTGGTGGTGATGGTTCTGGGTTTGTGTGTTTGGTGGGATTTTTTTGTTTGGTTGATTGGTTTTGGGTTTTTGTTTTTGTTTTTTTTTTTACAGCTCTGTGAAGATTTCTTTGGTTTGAACCCTTTTTTCTTCTGGGGAGGCGTGCACCAGTTCCCTCCCTCACCCTTGCAAGGGAGCATAGAAAAATACACTTGAAAAGATTGTAGAACAGTTACCTGCATGCTTCTTGTTAGTGTCTTTCCTCAGGATGCATGGAAGTTGGCTTAAGTTGGGAAGGAGCTTAGATTTGGTGTTGGCCTCCAGCACACGTAAATCCACCATGTGGCAGGTACTGTATTGCCTGGGACTTACTCCTTCCAGGGGAAGTTGTGTGCTGGAATAAAAACACTGCTCAGAGCTGAGGTGTGTCAAGAAACACTGAGACATGATCCAGTATTTGAAGAATTGGGGACTGGAGTTGTCACCAGCCCTACTTGAAGGGGTTGTGGGTACTCCTAACTTCTTGAGAGGAATGAACTCTCCTCTAGTCCAGCTGGCTGGCTGCTAGTGACATTAATTTTTAGTGAGCATGCAAAGCAAATAATGTGAAGTGTCATTTCACGTGGATGAATGTCTATAGAGAGTAGTTGTTGTTTTACATTTTCCAGTAGTATTTTTCTATATGGCAAGCTACAGAAGTGCTTTCTACTTCACTGGTTTATTGTCAGGTGTTGGGGTTGAATGTGGGTGTAGTTAAATGTAAGAACTTGTGCTCCTTCCTCTTCTTCCAGATCCCAGCATCTCTTTTTCCCTACTTTGAGACATCGCACTGATGGGAAACTGCTCTCAGGTTCTCTTCTATTTATCGATTTTGCTGCATTCAAAACTTCTAAAGAGGAAAAAAGGTGAAGTATTGTCATAGCTTTGGGATATAGTGTAAGAAATGGTGTAGCCTCAGTACACTCTGATCTGTGTGTGAGAGCACCATATATATAAGTGAGATCTTAATCTTTCTTTTTTGCTGAGGTTTGCTTTTGCCCTAGATTTAGTGCTGTTATGTTTGTGGCAAAGTGAAGGCTTCTGAGTTGGAAATGGCCAAACGATATTATTGCCATACAGGTACACGGAGCTGGAGCCACTTGTGGTGAGGATGCAGGGAGTCTAAACTTTTGCATGGTGGAGGTTTGAGTGCATTGAGTGATCCTGGCAACAGGTTTGTTACTGGCTTTGCTGACAAAAAGCACTGTTTTGGGGTGGTGCGGATGCAGTGGTGGTAGGTGTGGTGAAGTCATGTGAACAGAGGTGGTGTCGCTGTGGAGGTAAACAGTATGGAAAAGTCTTTGTTGATCCAGTGGGAAAGTGGTCTGTCTGAGCTGTGCCTGGTGATCCTCAGGAGCCCATCTCCTGCAACACAGACGAGGTGGGGTCTTTCAGTAGGTACAGCCATTGCACAGTTACTGTTGCTCTTTCCTGTGAAGCCTTGCTGGATTACTATTTCTTTCTCCTAGTCCTTAGACTTCTGTGTTTGATAAACCCCCCTCAATTGTAGAGATGCCTGTAGAGAGGTGGTGACTTGCTCAGCTCTCTCCTCT